TTAATTAGCTGATGAAATGTAAAATCTATAAAGGCTAGCTATCGACTCTAGCGAAGTTAAACATTGATGTGCGATTCTTGATATGAAAATATATTTTATACGACAGAAATCGATTTTTATGTACAGTATCGGTTTTCGCATCAGATTTAAAAGAGATATACTTTTCTAATAATATCGCAAAACTTTCCAGAACGATGATGCCATGCTATAATTTCGTAGCGTATAAATGTCATCTTGCATTTTTGCAAGAAGCAGATAGGCAGAATAAATTTCCCAACGGTCTTGCGCAAAGCCTTCAAAGAAAATCCTGCGACGCCGCGATACTCCAATCTTAAATGAAGTCCTGAATATATTTCCCGCGTTATGCTTGGACAAATATTATCATCGCTGCAACAAAGAGCCGTGCTTCATTGTATACCTTCATTCTGTGTCGACGCGAGGATCTTTTCAGAAGGTCACGAGCAATTTCCTCTTTGCCTTCTCTAACTCGTGGACAAAAAAGCGATTTGCATCGTATAAAAGGGCGCCTGATGAAGGTGCGAGGAGTTTAGGATCGAGGCTATTAATGACACTAGAAACAACTTAGTTTGCCGGGAATTGGAGGAGAGATAGGATGGCGAAGGCGCGAATGAATAGAATATACGGCAACAATTACGCGATTGTGAAATGGAAATTGTTTCGCGTCCGGTCACGTTCAAGAACATTCTTCATTGCTTTATGTATACGTCTCTTTTTTTTCTCTTTCTTTTTTTTCCGAAACGTCGATGAAGTACGATAGGAAGTGATATATTTTTATTGGCCGCAAGTTCCAGCGCCGAATGATCGGGAGTTTTGCAAGCGAGTCACGCGCGCGAGGATTTGTGATTTTGATCCTAATGTGCCCTACTCCTCCTGGGTGTAATAACTTCTGTTTCATACAACTTGTCTCGTGCAATACAACAGTATTGTTTCGGTAACATTGCTAGACATTGGTCATGCATCTATTTTTGCAGAAGTTTCAGAACTTCTGCGACTTTCTGAGCTGTAGTTTGTCTTCTTCTGCTATTACAAGTTTCCCAGCCTCATTCTTTGAATCGTACTTCAGTCGTCGTCGTTTTACTTTATCGTTCATGAATCATAAATTCCTTTTCAATAACATCAGATTTTTATTCTGTTCTTGTTTTATTTCTTCATGACATACGTCTGATGTTTGATCATTGATATTCGCTATAACATTATGCACATCTTAAATATTGCAGAGTATTTTAGTATATTTTCATTAATTAAAATCGGAAACAACAAAACAACAAATATTTAATTGCTTATTTGTTCTCTACTACGTTTATTATGAATAATCATTAATACATGGTGATGGATAATATATTTTCGCGAATGTACGCGGCATCAAAGTTAGAGAGAATATATGATGCAAGAGAACGGAAAATTAAATGAACGTAGACGATGCGATAACTGCGTTTTGCTAATTGCTTTCTTCATCGGGACGAATTATCGGAGTCCGTTCCTTCGATGGGCATTTTTCTTCGTCCTGCAATCGAGTTGGGCGCGTTGAAAAAAAAATCCGCACAAAATACCTCATCAGCTTCTGAATAAATTTCTTATCGCACCTCTCGCTTCGAATTAAGTTTGAAGTTGAAAAAGTTCTCGATGAATTCTATGCCTCGGCGGACATGGTGATTCCGTACTGAGCGATTCATTAGTGACGCAGTATAACGATTATATCTTTATTAGTAAAATTCCCTCGCGTTTCACTAACGCCAGAGAGAAATTTTCATGCACTCGCTGGTCGAATTGCATTGAAAGTTTAATTTCCGAACGAAATATCCTGCAATAATTTAATGATAGAAGTTTCTTCTATTGAATCCGTGCGCATACATCGATATATGTGAGTTCGAATCGTCATTATAACGGGTTCAATTGGTTTCATTTAACGTTCATCGTATTTTCTTATTATGTCTCTATCAATTGATGAGTCTGAATTGCCTTCATTACAATGTCGCATGTTTAGCAAAAATATTTTCGAGATATTTTAGTATTAACGTTATTATTTTTTATTTTTTATGTATAATTCATATATTATATTTTTCGAAACACAATTTTTTTTAAAATAAAATTGTTGGAGTGTTTTTATGCCTTGGTAAAAGTATTTTAAGATTAAAGCTTATAGAGTGGTCAGTTGTCTGCAGAAATGTTTAGTGTTGGCTGAATATACGTGCGCTTATATTACTGCGCTCGCTTTGTATGTGTCCAGTTATATCCGGTTCTTTGCTACTTGAAAGTCTGACATATACAGCAGCGATCCCCTAACTATGAAAAACGGTTGAAACTTGCATACCTCTTTAAAGTTTCGTGAAAGCAATTGAGAATTTCTAGGGAAACTCTTGAGACGTGTATGAGGACGTATATAATTTTCGATTCCATGAGCGAGGCGAATTTTCCTTATTGAATTCAGAATATGACGCGACCGATGCATGAATCGTCAATACTTTGTACCTTATTTCATGCGATTAAAAGAAAGTTACAAAAGCGACTTCAGTTGTATAAAGTAGATGTGATTTATGTACAACAATTATACAAAAATAGATAATATAAATAATAGATATTTCTATTTAAAATTAACTCTAAATTAATTCTAATCCGAAAATATTTTTTTCTCTAAAGAAACATAAATTTTTAAATGCAATTTATTCAAAAGTTATATACAAAGAAAAGTTGTAAATTTATCTCTTTGAGACGACGGAAAGAACGATAAATCTGAATTAAAAAATAAAAAGGGATATAAATTCTTACATTTTCCAATATTGTTCTCTCAAATCCCATAACTTATATTCAAGCTAGTTTTTCCTATTACGCATATGAGGCAGGAGTTATGGTATTCACGCATACGTGATAACAGTTTGGAAGTAAACGAAGACAGTCTTATGTGCAACGAATAGGAAAAAGATTTTTATAAAAAAAGCAATAAATTATAGTAAATAAACAGCATTTAAGTCTAAATAAATCAATGTATAATTTTTTATCATATAGTATCTCTATATAATAACTAGATAAAGTTGTTAATTTGTTACAAATATATTTTAAAATATATAATTGCATGTTCAGACTAAATTATAAAACCGTTTGCCTTTTTTTATCTCTGCTTAGAAAAACATTTGCTTTCTCCTTTGCTCTTCTCTCGCTGAATAAGCTAAGAACGAAGTTAAATAATGATTCGCGGAAGCTCACTCAGCTTTTCATGGGGCTTTTAATGGGGGGCTATAACATTAACGATGAGTGATGACTCTCACCTCTGTGTCATGAAAAGAAATAAATTATGCTAAATGAGACAGGCTCAAGATCTTGAACATTATAGTTTATTTTAAATATCACATTTTCTAATTGCGTTTTTTAAAATTTAAATATACTTTTTGCTTATTTGTATTACTCATTTAACGTGTTGGCAGGAAAAGAGATGTATGTATCTCTTCTCTTTATCTATATCTTTAATCGGTAATAATATAACTGTTTCCTCATGGAAAAGGTAAATGCGACCGAATTTAACACAGAGTAGAGAATAAATCTCTTATTCTAAAAGTTTGAAATAAATGACCGTATTTTTTTCTCTATGGGTGGAGTCGCCTCGTTCAGCCAGCTATCGTATCGATGAACTTTCGTTTCCACCCCTATCTCGTTGTGCTGAATGAGCTAAAAAAAAAACCAAAGTGATAGCTACGAGAGTATACTTTCGTTTTCGTAGTCAGCAGGAACTTTATTGAGTTGTAGAATTTTAGAGTTGCATATTTTTAACCATAATTGCAGTAAGATTATACCCAGGTAGCCAAATGTTAGCAATGTTGGCAGATTGATAGCAAATTTGATTAATTAATAATTATAACAAAATGTGGTTGCTAAGAGAAATTGACGATAAATTTGATCAAATTTGCTGTTAATCTGTTTACTGGTATATAATATTTTTATAAAATAGCTAAAAGAAAGATAAAGAGGAGATAAAGAAAAGAATAGAGCAAGACTTGAATTTATTCAAGTTTATAATAATAAGACAGTTTAATTATGCAATTATATTTTTAAATTAGTTTACAAAATTAAATTTAATTAAACAAAAAAGTTTAAAATTAAAGACAAAGTTTGGTGAGTTGTTTACGAAACAGTTCACATTATTTTCGCGCGATTGCGTTACTATGTTGTGATATTTTGACAACAATGTACTAACATTCTCACGGGAATGAAATCTATGCACGATTGCCTTCTGACGCATGATGGTGCGAATAGCGCATTCGACAAAGTGCAAAAATCGATTTTCCAAGCTCGCGCGAATGAAAACTTCCGGTCTTTAAAGAGGCTCATTATTTTCCTGCCAGAAACGACCGGTCGCAGACCAACCGGCCCTTCCTCTCCACCTCTGCCGTTCCGCCGTCGTGCCAGCTAGAGAATGGGATTTCGGGTGGAATCGGGGTGGACAAGATTGATAAATTATCGGCTTGAAAAATGCAAAACCGATGCGCGCACACCTACGATTTCACAGACACGCACTCACACGTCCGCGCGGCGGTTGTGTTGGTGTGACATATCGCACGAGTAAGCCCTTATACGATGAATTCAGGCGGATGCATGTTCCCCACATAAATTCCGACACGAAGCTACGTCGCCTGTCATACAGGATGCACTGAAAAACTGCGGGCTGCGCCGAGAGTGTGTTCCTCACTTTTACGCCTCGTTGCAACGCTTCATGGTTTAACCGCGTAATTAAATTTATGGTCTCATTTTATAGACGGCTAATTATCGGCGTGAATAAAAAATGCGTTAATTTTGTTTATTTTTCTCGCAGTCGGTTTATTTGTTTTACAGAAGCGTTTCGTTTTTTCTGAAAATACATTGCTGCCAAGCAATTCGTAATAATGAACGTTTAGATAAAATTATACAAGCTCTATAACGAGTAAATTTATTATTACGGAACACTGCAATAATATTCATTAATTATTAATTAAATGTTTTTATTGTTTCAGAGAGGAGAGATGGACATTATCGCTGCGCATTTATCATAAGGTTAGTAGATGTAAATTGTTGAAATTAAGGCTATCTAATTAGCATCGATAGAATTACATGCATTTTAAGAGGCCATTTATTTCTCTCTTGGCAATCACAATTTGTTATAACTATTAATGCATACATTATTTCGGATATTAGAGCATGTAGTGCAAAGATTGAATAACCTAAATTTCTACTCTTAGAAAAAAATATTATATAATACGAGAAAAATTTAATATGTGCAACTATTTAAAAAAATGTATAAAATATATAAAAAGTATTTCTGGGTACGTTTGTCGCGAAATTTTAATGCTTCACGATTTTACACGGTACAGCTTTTTGTGCACGAGATTTTTTGACAAAATTTACAAGGAGACACTTGTAGCGATGTAATTCAATTTGCCATATGGTGCTTTTTCCGCGATTTAAATGTCGCGATGATTTTTTCTCTTGGATGTACGTTTGATTGGGCACATGTTATCAATATATTAGAGAAAAAGAGAGTAAAGAGAAACTTTTATAATAGACTTACAATCATTAATAGAGAATTATATATGACTGTATAGATATAAATATACTTGTAATATTAATGCATCTGCTGCGCACATGAATATATATTTACGCAATTATTTTCTCTCGGGTATTGCTTGATTGATTAGATTAAAATTTTTGTTATATTACTTATGCTGTCGTTATGCTCCATAAAGCTATCCAAGTTTTAATCTCGCCTCGAGTGAAGAAAAGTTAAGCCAAGTTGTGATTCAGCTATAACCAAAGACATAATCATAAATAATATCTACGTAAAATATTAACAAAGGAGCAGGACATGCAGGAAAAAAATGCTTTTAATAGTATCAAAATAAATATTTATATAAAAATTTTTGTTTTTTCTGGAAGTCAGAAGTCAAAAGTTAATAATATGTGTATAAACAGTTGTGGACTACTTTGGCTTTGTATTGACAACATTGATCGGATTATGCAATACTATACATATTTATAGAAATATAAAGTTAAATAATTTACAATACAATCTACTAAAGCATATCTTATGCTATGTAAATGAATATTTGTGATTTATATAAATTGTATGTGAATTTATAAGTATTTATTGCAACTTAATAGATACTAATGTAACATTATGAAAATATTTAACATACAAATTAATTTTCTAATATACGATATATTTCTAGCGTTTGTAATACATTTATTTTTACACAAAATGAAATATAATTATAATAAAAACATTTTACATGAACTGGTTAATTAGATTTAATAAAAGCATAATCATGCTATTCATATATTATTAAAGGCATTCAGTTAATAGGAAATTTTAATTATCGAGCATTATTTTGCTATAATGGGAATGATTTTGCAACTTTGTTTTGTAAAAATACGTACATTCAAACGGATATCTCTTATCTTTTTCAGTTCCGAGTCAGTTAGATGTTATATGAACATGTAATTTAATATTATTAATTAAAATAAATTAAAATATCTTGAACAAAAATATTTTTAAACAAATGCATTTGTTAATTGACAAACAGATGTAGCTTGATAATAAATTGCAATGTAATGGAAAATGTAATTAAGTTTGTCAACTTTCACGATATGTAGTATGACAGTGTAATATGATGTCGAAACGCTAAAGCGTGCATGATCTTTCGTTTAACTGTAAATTATAAAATTGCATACTGTCAGCGATATATATATATATACATGAAGCTATAGAATAAAATAAACCTCCGAATTCCTCAAATGTCAGGTTTACAGTCAGCTGGTTAGAAACACTTGTTATTCGAGTTCGATGTTGTTTCAATTTCTGGGTTGAATATCGATTAAACGTATCGATATTTCAACGTACGCAAATAGTAGAAGTGCCGTATCGAATATTTTTCCACTTGCCATCGTAAAAGGTAATATCGGCACTGTGCAGAAGGTGCGTTGCATTTAATCGATGAATTCAATATCGTGGATTTTTGTCATTATTGTAGTAAACAACAAGCCATACACATTGCTCTTGACGTACTGTGTACTGCGTTGGTTTCGATGAGGTATTCATTTAATATGCATTACGCTGCAGCGTTGCCATGATAAGTGCTGATCTGGCTTAAATCCTTTTTTACGTACCATCGTCGAGCTAACGCGATATAAAATTAAAAAGAAAAAGTAAAAAAAAAATTTATTACTGAAAAGTTAAAATAGTTAAAATTCTTGTCCTGTTTAATATACCTTCTGAAATTAGTTAATACAATTTTAATACATTTTGTGAGCATAATTATACTTTTTATATTCCTCATTTGCAAATAAAATGCCGATATTTTCTATATTATGCAGCACACAATACGTCAAGAGTAATGTTCATGGCTTGTTGTTTACTACAATAATGACAAAAATCCATGTATTGAATTTTCTATATTTGATGTATGTGATTAATGTACAAATAGATTTTTTATGTAAAGTTTATTGCATTTTTCAGTGTACTAGTTTTCATTATTCTATTTTAATAAAATATTTTCTTGATTAAAAGCTTTTCAATATTATAATTATTTGTTAAATTGTTAATTTTTAATAAAAAGATTTAAAGATTATTAAATAAAGGTATCGAAAAATATTTATTATTTATTTTTATATATCGGTATTTTCACGTAGTAATTTATTTTTAAATTTATCTTTGAGGATGTAGACCGATTTCTTTGTACTATTGTTTGAAATACTTATGTCTTTTTTCTATTTCTAAATCCTAAATTAAATTTGCGATATTTCCTTGTAAAAACTACGTCTCTCTGTTCAAAAACAAGTTTATGAATCTTTTGTCAAGTGAGTTATTTTCTATTTCAAACGGTAACAAGATTTTTCAATATTTCGTGAAAAAATCGTGACCGAGGGGATATATCTGTAGATTGTATGCATTTGGCGTAGCAGTCATCGAATACGATCGAAACAGATTTTGGCGGAGTGGCTCCGATGCCAATGTGATTGCAACATTGTCGCATGGTCAATGATTTGTAACGGATTTACAGCAACTCGTGGTTGCTAATAAATACGCAATTAAATATGCTGAAGTACTTCATTGGAAGTAAAATTGTGCAATGAAATGTACGGATCGACACGTCATGTTGTAATGATTCTAATAATGCTTGAATAACGCAGTAATATTAAAAATGTTAAATATTATAATTTTTTATATCTTACGATTGAATATAAAGAAAGATAAGAAAATTAAGAATAAAAAAGATTGTAAAAGAGATATTTAAAATACTCTGTTATCGATTGGAATCAAAAATTTTGAAAAAATTTTTTAGTAAAGTATGAAATATTTTTTAATCTTTGATTGTATTTTTATCTGAAAGAAATTTAATTTTAGCATCGATTCTTATCTGTAAACACATATGGAATTGTATCCTATGAACACAAAGATTATCTACTTAGGGCCATCTGCCAAACCCATACAAAGTAAACTGTGTGTGAAATCAGATTTTGGAAGGCACGGTTTAACGCGTGAAAGAGCCTCTTTTTTATTAGGGTCGGAAAATGTCATTACAAGGAAAATTGGGTAAAGAATAATAACAGTCATAACAAACTGGACGAGATACTGCTAAAACATATATTACAATTTTTGAATAAAATGTTTAAATTACAACATTGAATGTTATATTTTGGAATAACAATTTATCTTCTTTTTTTTTTTCATTAAGTAAAAAAGAACAAAATCGAGTAAGGTTTTGCGCGACGATAAGAGTTTTGCAAATTTGACGGATAGTTCTATGTTCAACAATTACGACGAGTTACAGATCCCCTATGTTACGTGCACCAATCTACAATTGACGAGCTAAATGCGCTAACGCGGTAATTTGATCTGTCTGCCCCATGACGAAATATCGGAAAACGGGAGAATACGTGAGCTAGTTCTGAATACGCGACCGAACACGTCCGTCTGTTATTTCATTCTATGATTTTTTCAGCGTTCACCTTTTGCTACGCACTGTACCTTGTATTCCAAAAAGAGGAAAAAGAAAAATATAAGTAATCGGCGTGAATATCGGCGTTCGATGTTGAACTTGTTTGTGTAATTAGCATGCACGTTGCGGAGGCGATAAATGAATCAGGTCTAATTACATGATTGAATTTTCACCCAGCGCGAAGTGTCCTTCTCTCGCGCTCTCTAATAATACATACATACATGCTATGCAGTACGCATGCCATAGTCATTTCCATTAAACTGATACTTACGGTTCTACAGATAGCAAGTTAGAGCACCAACTTTAGTGGATATACGAAATTAGGTTTAGCAATTATCGTGGTAATATGCACTGCAGTTTGTCAGTCTTGCTATTGCACTGTTTGTTTAAATCTTTTGGTTTCCTTTGCAAATTATGCCGCTTATGGCAAACATTGTGAAAATATATTATTTAATTAATAATATTTTAATAACGGTGATGATTTTTTAGTATCTCGAGTGTTAGATAAAAACTTGTACGGCGTATTAATTACTATAAATTGTATTTCATAACCAAATTGATAATTGATGCTTATACATTACACAAGATCTTCTTTGCTAGTTTCTTATTACATATTATAGTTACTTGTGATACAGTAAGGTAATACTCTATCTCAAGGCGATACTATATCTTGTAAAGGATCTTAAAGCTGCCATTAGGTATTATCCATCTCGCATGCCGTCTTAATTTGACTCTACGCAGTCACGCGGAACTGCCTCCTCAAATTGAGTATTCTCGTAAAGGAATGACGATGCGGGCGGGCGGCGGGGTCGCCGAAAATGTGGATATTCTACCTCCGAAACCATCTCTGGCATGGTCCCTCATTAAAATAGTTAAGCTCTATTAAGAAGCGGCTAGGTCCAGGGTGCTCTAAAGTAACACGTTCTATTGTACATCAGCCCCGCCGCTGGGACGGTTGATAATAACGGTGGATATCACCTGGGAAGTTTAGCGTAACTACAGCTGCGAGCTACATTACGTCAGCCTCGTTGATGGGCCCTTATGCCAGATTGCAGGGAG